GGCCCTGGTGAGGCCCATACCCGTCCTCCCACTGTAGCCCCGGTGAGCCTCCCCGTGCGCCCTGCTCCTGCTCAGACCAGCCGTCCCACCTGGCAGTGGTGGTGCCAGTCGGGCATGGTGTCCCTCCACTCGATGATCTCCCGCTGCACCGCCCAGAGCTCCTGCTGCAGGAAGTGCCACATGTTGGCCAGGTTACAGCCGTTGACCCAGTTGTGGTTGATGGAGATGGTGTCCTCCTGGAAAGGGCAGGTGCAGGCTGTCCCCACAAGCCCACAGGGGGCACTGTCCCCTCCCTGTGTCCTGAGGTCCTCTCAGCCTTCCTTAGCTGGAAAGGGCTGTTCTCATCTCCCGATGGGTGCCAGAAGGGAAGAGGGAGCCGGGGCTGTGATCATCTGAATCCACAGTTAACCCAGAGTGGGGCTCCCCAGGGGCTGGGACAACCCCATGGCTTGCAGACCCCTTGCCCATTGCTGCCCAGGAAAGCAACACGGGAGGGAGGGAAAGAGGCTGGGGGCCCTCAGCAGTGCTGCGTCCAGGAGCCAGCGTGGCCACAGGCAGGACCAGCCTTGCCCGTGGTCTGCCGTGTCCCATATCTGGGCTCTCCCAGAGGAACAGCCTGCCCACTCTGGGGGACCAGGAGGGGTGGGCCCACCCTGCTCTCTGCAGGGAGGCATCTAGGAAGGCACTGAGGATGAGCAGGGCCACCTGGCAGGCCACGGGGCACAGCTGAGTGGGGAAGCCCTGTGGCCTGTCTCCCTGACCCCTCTGGACCACAGCATGTGGGGCAGGGAGGGCCCACCCTACCAGGTTGTGGACTTGGTGGTGCCACCCGCTGGGTACAAACACCATCTCGCCGGCCTCCTGTGTGACCTCCAGTGGTGGGTTACAGTGACCGAGCCTGGCGTGTAGGTGGCCATCTAGGAGTGTGGGGGAGGTCACATCGTAGGGCAGGCCACCGCGGCTATCCCGCAGGAATTCTTCTTGCCCCGGTGGGAAGAAGAACCACTTTTTCCTCCCGCAGATGTTGACAGACCAGCTGAAGGAGCGGAAAATGTCGGCGTGGAAC